GCCCACCTCCGCTCGGCCTCTTCCCACCTCAGCTCGGCCTCCGCCCAGCTCCCCTTTGTGTCCCCCCGCCAGATCCTGTCTCTCTTTCCTCCCCCGCCTCTGCCACCTCCCACCATCTCCTCCCGCCAACTCCTCTCCACCTCCGCCTCCCTATCCCCTGTGTGTGTGTGTGTGTGTTGTCATATTCGCTATACACTCAAAAAAAGCATGACTGTACCGAACAGACTGTTTCATCGGACTTTCACCGACTCATCAGGAGGTTGAACCCCAACAGTCTGCCCAGGATGGATTTGACTGATGGATAAGGACTCACCACTCGCCCAGAGTTAGTGTGTGTGTGTGTGTGCGTGCGTGTGAGAGAGAGAGAGATAGAGAGCGCTCGTGGCCTGCGCCATCGCCTTTGACCTCGGCCTCTGCCCACCTCGGTTCGGCCTCCACCCACCTCCGTTCGGCCTCCGCCCACCTCGGACCACCTCCCCTCCATCTCCGCCCAGCTCCATCGGCCTCCCCCCGCCATCTCCTTTCCTCCACCTCCGCCACCTCCCGTCCGCCTCCTCCGGTTATCTCCTCCCGCCATCTCCTCTCCGCCTCTGCCACCTCCCATCCACCTCCCGCCATCTCCTCTCCACCTCTGCCACCTCCCGTCCGCCTCCTCCCGCCATCTCCTCTCCACCCCTGCCCTCCCGTACGCCTCCCGCCATCTCCTCTCTGCCTCTGTTCCGCTGCCAGCACATCCGCCATCCCTATGCCCGCCTTTTAAAATAAAAACAAAAAAAAATGGTGCGTGCCCGCCTCCCCTCGGCCAGCGCCGACCTTCTGTCCACCTCTGCCCACCTCCCTCCCGTCATTAGGATCGCCAATCTCCCCTCAGCCTCCGTCCGCCTTCCATCCACCTCCTCTGGCCATGTCCTCTCTCTCTTTCCGCTCGGCCTCCGCCACTCCTCCACCTCCGCTCACCTCCGCTCTGGGCTCCGTTCCTCTGCCCGCACATCCGCCATCCCCCTGGACATTTTTTTCTTTTTTTTTTCTTTTTTAACAGTGCGCCCACCTCCCCTCGGCTTCCAGTGACCTCCTGACCCCCTCTGACGACCTCCTGTCAGCCTCCGCCCACCTCCCTTCCGCCATTGGGATCTCCCATCTCCCCTTGCCTTCCCCCCACCTCGCGTCCGCCTCCTCCCGCCATCCTGCTGCACATCGCGCTGTGCGTGCCAACCCTCCCTTCCGCCATTGGGATCTCCCATCTCCCTTGCTCCGCCCACCTCGCGTCCGCCTCCTCCCAACATCCCGCCCTCAGTCTCCGCTGACCGAGATTTCACCCTCCCCTCAGGTTCCCCCCTTCCCCTCCTCTTCCCCATCCCTCTGTCGTCACAC